ATGACCACCGAAGCCGACTTTCCAAGCTCGGATCGACTGCGAGTTTAATGGCAGTCTGAGCTGCTGCTACCGGAGTCTGGAAGAAATAATAGTATTAAATAAATAAAATAAAATAAAAATAAATCATTATTCTTGTCTTTTATGTAAAATTTACAGTATTCTACAATCGAACCCTGTTAAAGTGAACTATCTACGAAGTTTCAGATTCATTCGGCAATGAGCAAGCGACAACTCTCTTTTGGCGATAAACGCCAAGAGTGCTAACACTGAGGCGTATTGGCTACCTTTACCAACTACAAACAAAAACTACTTTTAATTATAGTCAAAAATATACATCATGTGTCAAAATTACGTGGCGTATATGGTGGTTAAAAATGATAGATTCTTGAAAAAAGGTATATGTATTTGATTTAAAGGTAGGTTTGAAGGTTTAATTTCCTTAATCCGTTCAATTTGAGCCGCGGTGGCTCAGGGGATAGAGCGTTCGCTTTCCAATGAGGGGAACTGGGTTGAAATCCCAGTTGATGCGAATTCCGCATCCGGCTTGCACAGACCACAGTGCTGACTTGAAATATCGTCAGTGGTAGACGGATCATGGGTTAGAGTCCCCTTGCCGTCAGGCTAACCGTGGGAAGTTCTCGCGGTCTTCCTCTTTATGTAACGCAAATGCGGGTTAGCTCCATCAAAAAGTCCTCCACGAAGGCAAATTTTACCCAATATTCGATTTCCCTTGTCTTCTGGATTGGGTTCAAAATTAGAAGGCTACGGAGTTGAACATTAGCAGTCGTAAACCCATAAATTGGGTCGGCTGTTCAACGACGGTTATAAAATCCGTCCTATTTAGCCGCGATGGCTCAGGGGATAAAGCGTTCACCTCCCAATGAGGTGAATCGGGTTCGAATCCCAGTGATGCTGTTAGATACGAATTCCACACCCGGCTTGCACCGACCACAGTGATGACGTGAAATATCCCCAGTAGTAGACGGATTATGGATTAGATTTTAGAGTCCCCTTTCCGTCAGGATAATCGTGAGAGGTTCTCGTGTTTTTTCTCAGCCTGTAACGCAAATACAGGTTAGTTTCACCAAAAAGTCCACCACAAAACCAAATTTCTCTCAATACTTGATTCGGGAGTTCCCTTGACGTCTGAATTGGGCTCAAAATTGCAAGGCTATGGAGTTGAACATTAGTAGTTGTAAAAAATCCGTCATATTTCGTTAAACTAGTCGTCAGATTTTGATCACGTTTCTGTTTTGTTTTTGTTTAAATATTTTAGCACTCTATAACATTTACATTTTTAATTCATTTTCGAAAATGATTCCAGAAATATATATCAAAATGCAGTAATTACAGAATGTTCCGTACATTGGAGGGAAATGTTAATGAAGTCTCTATATACTTACTTGCCCAAATAAAAATGTCATGTAAGATAAGAATTTGGAAAATAGAGATGTTGAGTGATAAAATAAACTCGTGTTCACAAGGTCCAAACATACAGTGTTTACTGTAACTGCTGCGAAAAAAAAGAAGAAAAAGTTACAAATACAGTGTTGCTGTGACATTTTTGAATTTAACTTCAAAATTAAAATGTTCAATTCTCTACGGTTACTTAAACGCTTAATATTTTTACAACTTTTAAAAAGCTTAACGTTCTCTCACAATAATAAAGACAAAAGAAGTAAATTATAAATACAAGCTATAAAGGCATTCAAAAGTTTATTTAAACAATAAAAATCTTACTCTTTCCGTTAGCATGGCAAAAATAAAAGCAATTAAAGATACAATTGCATTACTGGTAAATAATTTATTAGAAAAGGAATAGGTAATACAATCAAATTTTTCAATCAATTTTTAAAGCAGTGCTATCAAATTTTTCAATCATCCTACCATATTTGAATAATTTTCACTTCCGAAAACACCAATGTTGGCACACTTTTGATATCGTTAGTAGTTTGTTTGCAATCAAGTAGGAGGCTGTGTGAGATTATTGTAGTCTTTTACCCTGCTATACATCAACTGAATTCGCTTTTATTACTTTAATAATACTTTTTTATTTTAAGAATTAGTGTATATACAGTATTATACAGTATATATAGTACAGTGTACAGATAGTGTATTCATTCTAAGTCAATGATTCTTACTTTATATTGTACAGTAAAATTAACTTTACTAACTCTTACGTGTATCATATTACAGTGTAATTACAAATTTTAGTGCTACTGAACACAAAAAATGGTGTCAGATACTTTGTATTAAGTAACGTAGAAGAACATTCTTAGTTTTTAGCTGTACCAGGAACTTTTCCTTCAGAAGATCAGGTTCGATACACNCGGTTAGAAAGTATACAGCTGCTTATTACAGCTTATTCTATGAGACGATATTTTCAAACTGATAATTTTGATTTAATAAAAGAAGTAAATCATATAGTTTCTGAGCTCAAATTTTCTGTATTTCATAAGATATTAATGATATTATTCTGGTTAGTTTGAAGTGAAAATTTGTTTTAGTTACTTACAGATGTATTGTTAAAAAAGGTGACATGGTTGTTAGATTTAGAAAGATCTCGCTTTTTTGGCTGTCCCGATTTGTACCTCCTTGCTTATTGCTTATTACTGTTTGTTCTTGTTGTAAGCCGTGCATCATACCTTAGTCTTAGCATATTGTTCGGGTAGCGAGATTAGGTTCATTTTACCAATTATCAATTAGGGTTTAAATTTTGAAATTGGTATATTGTTGACAAGGCAAGAAGATTCTTTTTTTTCTCTCTCAAAGGACGATTCTTAGACTTGAAATGACAGGCCTTCAAATGACAATTTTTACAACGCGAGTGAGCGCGATTCTTTTTTTTTTTAAACACAAATAATAAATCAGGTAACAAATACACGAATACAAGAAATATGATACTACTCAAAGTAAAAGAATACAAAATATTAAATTCTAAATTGACAAAACTTTCTTTGAAATGAAGAAACAATAATTGAAGCAATAAAGAAAATAATGGAAATAAAAATAAAAATATGACCACCGAAGCCGACGTCTTCAGGGGGTACCGGCCTCGGTATCATTTTCTCAAGATCTTGTTGAAATTTCTTTTCTGATTTGGTTTTATGTATTTCATGTATTTTTTCTTGGACTTCTACAAAACCTTCGGGGTACTGAGAAAGTTAATTTTGACATTTGTCCTCTCTCTCAATAGAAAAGGTTTTGTTTTATGGTTTCCGAGGCCGGTACCCCCTGAAGACGTCTGCTTCGGTGGTCATATTTTTATTTTCATTGCTTTCTTCATTACTTCAAATACTACTCAAAGGATTCTCAGAACACATTGATCACGCTGCGATCGAAATGGCTTCAAAATACATGGGAAACAGTAACCAGGAAGTATAGTCAGTAAAGAGCTTGCAGTGCATCCATATAACACTTAGTGGAAAACCACTCTGGTGAAGTAGAGTAGTTACCACTATTTTTGGTTTTAAGATACAATCAAGTAGCAGCAAAAACTATTTCAACGAAATAATTTTTCTTCCACTTTTCATCTTTTACGTATGACTCAAAGCTGTTGCTTCAAAGAAAATTTTGGTTACAGTAAAATTGTTGGGAGGGAAGGTAATGGCTTACCCGAGTTCAGAAGTTTCAATGCTAATTCTCTAGCAAACATAATTTTAGCTAAATTGGAATTAGCGTATTTTTGCTGATCAGAGTAGTCTTCGGTGGATGAAAAATCTAAATCCTCTCTTTCCAAATTTGAGAAACGATAAGCAGAGGAAGCCACGTTGATGATACGGCTGGGAGAACTCTGCCTCAGAATATCTAGAATAAAAACAAATAAACAAATTAATAAATAAGCTGACTCGAACTCGTTTACATCATCATTATACAGCGTGTTAATGCAAGAGCTGTAAACTTAAACCCTGGAATGCTTACGTAACTCATTTAAGATCGCTATGCGGTCTGAGCTCGTTTCCGGCATGCTTTTCTGCCTTATTCTTGTTTATCATGGTTTTTCAAAGATCTGACGCCAAGGAAAGCCACAGTTTAAGTGCTTTACTCTTGTTTACCATGGTTTTTCAAAGATTTGTCTCCAAGGAAAGCCACAGTTTAAGTGCCTTACACTCGAAGCAAAGCGATGATTTTAAACTATATATCAGCCGTGAAGAATTATCTGGGCTTTAGAACGTTTTGCAAATTTTCATGAGCCCAGATAATGCAACATTTGAGTTAGTTTTTAAATATTAAAAAATTAGATCACAACTGGCTTTCATTATCACAAAACTGCGGCTTATTGACGTTTTATGCCATTTTCAGTCTAAGCATAGACAGCGTTGGCTTTAGATATTCTAAACTTGTTCTAACAGTCATGAGTAACTGTTTCAAACTTACAGCAGTTATGAAAATAGCATATTATTCGCAGAAAAGCAACATTTCGTAAGACGACGGAACCTTTGAATAACAGCCTTAATATCCCACTTTTTATACATATCTTTTTACTTCTTTTTAAATATATTACCAGCTAGGCCTTCTTCTTCGCTACTACTTCAAGATCTGGCCCAGATTCAATCTTTTATTTCACTTGTATAAGATGGATTACTGAGAAATTGGCAATTTTAACTGATTTTCTAATTGACATTCGTTCTTAAAAACGCAACTTTATAACTTATATTCTATTCAAGTAATGGTTTTTTTCGCCTGTCCTAATTTTTAAGTATATATCAATATAAGTGTATCATAATATGTAACCCATAGTAGGATGGATTACTGAGAAATTGGCAATTTTAAACTAATTTTCGAAATTATATTCGTTCTTAAAAACGCAAATTTATAACTTGCATTCTATTCAAGTAATAATTTTTTTTTTCGCTTGTCCTAGTTTTTAAGTATATATATCAAGATAAGAGTATCATAATCTTAAGAACATTAATTCCACTAACACTAGATTGCCCAAGGAAGACTGCTTTTCAATTTCAATTAGAAAAAACAATGATGTATATAATGACATAATTTCTTAGAATTTTGTGACTTTTTGTACGACATATAATTTTTTTATTGTTAATATTTACTAGTAACTTGTTATATAACTGTAAATGATGCGAAAAATATTAAAAATTAATTTTAAACAAAATTCTTTACACATTAGTTATTCTTTTACAATCCAGTCATTTTGACTGCTGTTGGGCAATATAGTGTACATACTAAGTTTCACCTCCAGAAATAAAAATTCAGCCAAACCAAGGTTGCCAATTTAGCGGTTTCTTTGAAAATCAAATCAGACCATCTAGTCTCCTTTACAAATCAAAATCTAAATTATTCTAAACGATCTTGCCTTAATATTTACCAGGATCAAATGAATGGATAGATTGCTTACGAATCGTAAAAAAAAGTAAGTTCATACCCTAAATTATTTTTCATTTTTATTATTGTTTTTTTTTCTTCATGTTTAGATAAAAACAAAAACAAGACCTCNTACCCTTAAAAACGCAACTTTATAACTTACATTCTATTCAAGTAATGTTTCTTTTCGCCTGTCCTCATCAGGGACCGATCAAGACAAATTCAGGCCCAAGGGACACAAAATTTTCAGACCCCCTACCAAAATATTTTGAAATTAAATTACTGAAGAGTAGTCCGAACAATAAAAAAAATCTATTGAACTGCATGATTCAAGAGAAACATTCTAAAAAATTTTGAAAGCAGACAGTTGAATATTATTTTTCTAAGATAAAGTTTTTGCATCTAAATATTAAAGCAAGATATAAAACAACAAAACAATGTTATGTCAAAATAAAAGTAGTTTGGGGACCAGAAAGAGTTGAAATCAGTGATTTTTGCTAAATGTCACTGATTAGCTGAATTATTTAAAAGATTGTAGCCTTCCATCAACAGCTTTACATATTTGTTAAAAATAAGCTTTTAGTTCTTGTTGACACTAATCATTTATGAGAGACATTGCAAATATGCATTCTTATTGCATTTGCTTAAGCCATTGGCGGAAAAATTGAACCCATTAAAATTCAGCTATACTTTTGAAAGTGTAATGTTTACACGAGTTTGGTTTATCACAATATAAATCGAATTTGAAATAAAAAAATGCCGTTTTGAGAAAAACTGTTTATTTCAGTATTTTAAAAAAAAAGTAATATTGTGGACTTGTTACTAATTTTTGAGGCCCCCAGAAAGTGTGGGCCCTAGGCCCGTGCCTATTGGGCCTAGGCAATAATCAGGCCCTGCCTGTCCTAATTTTTAAGTATATATCAATATAAGTGTATCATAATATGTAACCCATAGTAGGATGGATTACTGAGAAATTGGCAATTTAAACTATTTTTCTAATTGATATTCGTTCTTAAAAACGCAACTTTATAGCTTACATTCTATTCAAGTAATGATTTTTTTTTGCGTGTCCTAATTTTTAAGTATATATCAAGATAAGTGTATCATAATAATATTAAGAACATTAATTCCACTAACACTAGATTGCCCAAGGAAGACTGCTTTTTAATTTCAATTACAAAAAACAATGATGTATATAATAACACAATTTCTTAGAATTTTGTGACTTTTTGTACAACATATAATTTTTTTTATTGTTAATATTTACTAATAACTTGTTATATAACTGTAAATAATATTAAAAAAAGTTAAAATTTAATTTTAAACAAATTTATTTATTCTTTTACAATCCAGTCATTTTGACTGCTTTTGGGCAATATAGGTATATACTAAGTTTCACCTCCAGAAATAAAAATTCAGCCAAATCAAGGTTGCCAAATTAACGGTTTCTTTGAAAATCAAATCAGACCATCTAGTCTCCTTTACAAATCAAAATCTAAATTATTCTAAACGATCTTGCCTTAATATTTACCAGGATCAAATGAATGGATAGATTGCTTACGAATCGTAAAAAAAATTAAGTTCATACTCTAAATTATTTTTCATTTTTATTATTGTTTTTTTTTCTTCATGTTTAGATAAAAAAACAAAACAAGATCTCCTATGATAAACAACAATAAGCTACTCGTCTCTTTAACAATAGCTTTTCTTGGTTCAGCTTTCATTGAAATTTAAAAGGATAAGCGTTATAACGTGCCTAGATAACGTATTTCAGCTCTTTCGAGTTATTCTTTTACTTTATCTCCTTTAAATGAAGGTTTGTACTAAAAGTACAAGCAAAGTTATGTACTCACAAATAGCAAATTAGGGAACATATCTTTTGTTAATTTGGAAACAAAACTTTTCTTGAAGAATGAATGATGTCTCGAAAAAAAAGTTTGTTAAAATTTTACAAAAATTTTACCAAAAGATTGTTCTAGATTTTACCCAAATTTCAAAACATATAATCCCTGAATTATAGGATATATTAAAAACCTTAAAAGCCCGGTAATATTTAAGCCAGGAATTTTTTTGCAATTTTCTGATGTTTTCAGACTTTGCACAAGCTGTTTTTTAAGTTTTTTTTTTGTTTCAGTTTTATTTACTTTTTATTCCAGAAATTTTTTTCTCGAATCTCCGAAAACTGAAGGAAAAAAAACTGCTCGGGTTAAATATCATTGTGAAGACGAAGCCTTAGTAATACGCGTGTTTTGGAACTCTTTATTGCTTTTGTTCATTTCCCGGAAAACGCCATTGTACTTCCCTTTTAATTTCCTAATTAAGAAAATTATCATTATTTTTAATATTATCTAGAAGTAAATAAGTAAAGTTGTCAAAAATGAGTTTGCTTTTAAATGAATAAATCTAGTTTGAATAAATCAGAAAAACCGAAAAACTTAGGATTCGGATTAGGTAATAGTCTGGAAATAACTGTATTTTATTCATACCCGAGTTCCATGACTTAACTTTTCATGTTAGCTTCACTAGAACTAATATTTTTTTATAATCACCAAATATATTACCTTACATGATAAGAACAATTATCTGCTAAATAATCAGCGGCACTGAAAATAGAAAACCGGTCTAAATGATGATATCCGACTTAACGAGTTAAGCTGATTTTAAGAATTTTCTTGTTAGATGTCATTTTAAGAAGAAAAAAATTTATTAATTTATTCTAACAGGAATTATTTGGAGTTTGATATACATTTTAGAAAAACTGAAATTTTAAGCGAATTTCAAACAAAATGTTAGGTACTCAAAATGTAGCTGAATTTCTTTTGACGCTATGGTGACCAGAATCCCGGAATTTTCAGACACCTTCACATTACTATAGATTTTTTATTTTATAACCGTCGTTGAACAGCCGACCCAATTTTTTATGGTTTTACCACTACTAATGTTCGACTCCGTTGCCTTGTAATTTTGAACCCTATCCAGAGGACATTGGGAGAAATCTGCCTTCGTGGAGGACTTTTTGATGGAGCTAATCCGCATTTGCGTTTTATGGAGAGGAAGACCACGAGAGCCTTCCACGGTTAGTCTCACGGCAAGGGGACTCTAACTCATGATCCGTCTACCACTGAGGATATTTCACGTCAGCACTGTGGTCGGTGCAAGCCGGATGCGGAATTCGTATCGACTGGGATTCGAACCCGGTTCGCCGTATTGGAAGGCGAACACTCTATCCCCTGAGCCATTGTGGCTCTATCGAACTTATAGTGGCTATAGCATACTAACTCCTTTTTTTGTGCAAATCGATCAAGTATGGACATAATTTTAAGGTGTTATGTGATAGAGCGACCGCTGTCTTCTATGACGTCATACCTAACCTCAAGCTTTACAACTAAATGCACTAATTTTCTGGACCATACTGACTCTGGATAAGACTAACTGCTATTGATTATTCAATGTGAGGTTACTGTGACAAAAAAAGAACCTACCTAAAAGTAGTGTCGTCAGCAAGAAGTGTCCTAAATAATTTGTCTGCATAATTGTCTCATTACCATCCTCCGTTTCATCTGGTCCTAGATTAACTAAAAAAAAAATTTCTTTTCAAATATCAGGAAAAAAAATTTAATGACAAGGAAAGATAATACCTTCTTCAGTAAGGAAAAAAAATGATCGAAGCGGAAGTTAATGGAGAAGATAGATTAATAATGTAAACTTAACACCACGTTTTGCAATACAATCAAAATTTGGCATCGATTGCTGTTACCTACATAACTCATACAACAAAGAAGGTGAACCTTTATTCAATTAGTGTTCCAGCTAAATTTAAATTTATTATTTTCAAGAATGTCTCGTGTGTTAATTTTCTACTTAAAAAAATTATCATACCCTTATACAGTGCTCAAAAAATAAACGGGCGACCAGGAACGTTCTAGGGTTCAGTCTTATTGGTTCGAAGAATTGACAGCAAATATGCTAATTAATTAGTGCAGACGATATTTCAAACTACGAAATCAGCAAAAAAAACTTTCTTTCTCTGAATGAGCATACTTTTTCTTATGATGCATTCGAATTTTTAGCTCTCGAAATTTAGGGGATAACCGCAATCTGGAAAATTTGGTCCTAATTGTATGGTCAAGAGAGCCGTCGAAAGTTTGGACCCCTTAATGTTCATTTTACTTTTTGTGTATTTCGCTATATCACGAGAATTTTTAAGCGAATTAAAAAAAATTTGCTCATAATTATAAAATTCATTTATCCAAAGATAATATATTCCATACAAAAAAAAATAAATTTTAGTAAATATTTATTAATTTTTATTTAATAATAGTAAAAAAAAATTTGAATTGTTAGGTATACAATTGTTTGCTTCATTTTAAAGTATGTAATTTCATATGGCGAAATACAAAATTTGGGGGAAATCGGCTGAATAGTTGCATTTTTTTTTTAAATGTTATTTAGAGATATTTTTTTCGAAACAGAAGATATTCAAATACGAGATGTAATAATTGACTACTGTGATAAAAAAAATAGAATCAACTGAAGGACTCGAAACTATAAAATGATGAGGCAAAGTTTTCCCGAAGGTGACATTTTTACACGATACTAGTCCTTAATATTGTTTCTAGATAGGTAAATTCCNTTGTTAGGTATACAATTGTTTACTTCATTTTGAAGTACGGCAAAATACAAAATTTGGGGAAATCGGCTGAATAGTTGGGTTTTTTTTAAAAAATGTTATTTAGAGATATTTTTTTCGAAACAGAAGATATTCAAATACGAGATGTAATAATTGACTACTGTGATAAAAAAAATAGAATCAACTGAAGGACTCGAAACTATAAAATGATGAGGCAAAGTTTTCCCGAAGGTGACATTTTTACACGATACTAGTCCTTAATATTGTTTCTAGATAGGTAAATAGGTAGATAGGAAAGATAGGTGTCTAGATAGGTAGATAGGAAATTTAATCTAGATTACAGCACAATGCAAAGCAATTCAATAAGCAATTTTTCTTCCTTTTTCTAAGACAATTAACTTCTCAGTCCCTTGCATTTACCATAAAAAATTCCTTAAGTAAAAATTTTTTTTAAGGAGGATACTGAGAGCAACTTTTCTAGGAATACGAGTTGATGGCTTATGGCACAGACTCTATTGTGCCTTCAAAGACCCCGACGTCATCAAATTCATAAAAGTACAATGAATTAAATGGGCTATTTAAATGAACAAAGAATGTTCAACACAGAAAATATTCTTGGCCACACCCTCTGGAACAAGAGATAGGGGCCTACCCTATCTCATATGGGTTAACTGCCTAGAAAGGAATCTCGCCATTTTAAGAGTGATTGATTGGAAAACTATGGGCAAAAGTAGAGAGGCCTGGGGAAAAACTCTTGAGAGGACCAGGGCCTACCCAGGGTTGTAGTACCACTGAAGAAGAAGAAAAAGAAACAATTTTTAATAAATTTTCTAATTTGTAAAAAATATTTACAAAAAGTTTTCGTTCTCCGACAAAAAAATAATATCTGAATACCAAAATCGGAGTCAAAACTTCACTGGACAAAACTTCGCTTAACAAAACTTCAATAGAGAACTTAGCTTTTCAAAATTCATATAAAAATAATAATAATAATGCAAACGGAATCAAACTAAAAACAAAAAATACTTCATACTGTAAGTTTTAAATGTGTATAAAAAATAGTATTCGAACTTCAATTGCTACATTAAAATCAAATTCAAAATCAATGTTGCATTATTCGAACATTGGCAGGTAAATGGTTAAATTAAAATAATAAAATATAAAAAAAATTATTTTAATATTTTTATTTTATTAAAGTTAAATTAGTTATGAATTTAGAGCTTTAAAACATTAAAATTTCTAAATTTACATTAAGCTTCCTTTATTCCAGTTTCTCAATTACAAAAAAAAAAAAAAAAACTATAAAAAAATATATAATTTAATATATCTACTTTTATTAAAATTAAGTTAATTATGAATTTAAATTTATGGAAATTATTTAACATATAAAATATTTTCTATTAAAACTAATGCATAAATTAATAATAATTAGTAATTTTAGAATTCATCAGACTGAAGTTTTGTCCATTCGAAAGTTTGTTCAAGCGAAGTTTTGTCCAACGAAGGAAAAAAATCTATAGTAGATTTTGTGAAATATAATATCACATAATTTATTAAATATTTTTGATAAAGGAAATTCAGAAATTTTTATAGCTAAAATTATATTTCATTAATAACAAAATTTAAATTGACTGCAATATTTTCCATTTATGTTTGAAGCTAAATGAAATTGAATGAGAAATGTGTTAATTGTACTTTTTACATTTTAAAACTTATAATTTAGTATAATAATAGATGTTAAATTCATTGTAGTTAGTTATAAGTTTTTTTTTAACTAATTTAAAATTAGAAAGTTATAAATAATGCTGACTAACAGTAACACTTATTTAAATACTCCAGCAAACAATAAACTGTGTAAAAAAAATTTTTTGATAAGGAATTTTCAAAAACTTTCCCTATTTCAAGGCTTTTTATTAAAATAAGCAAAAACGAGAAGAATTTTTAACTAAGCCTTTTTATTAAAATAAGCAAAAAGGAGAATAATTTTTAATTAAGCCTTTTTATTAAAATAAGCAAAAACGAGAAGAATTTTTAATTAAGCCAGTAGACCAGAAAAAACTGACAAAACCCAGTAGAGTTGGCAGCTATGCCCAAGAACCAGGGCGCAAAATAAAAAAGGGATCACCCTGAATAACTTTTGATCTAATGAACGGATCTTCATGTTCTAGGATTAAATCTTAATGGTTCGGGGGTGACCTTAAAAATACTAATTAAACAGAGCAGACGACATTTTAAATTGCGAAATTTACTTTCTATGAGTAAACCTACTTTTTTGTTGTTGATGGATTTGGATTTCTGACCCCCAAATGTCGTATCAATAGTTAGATTACGAGAGCAGTCGAAAGTTAAGCAAAAATAAGACTTTTTTAAAATTTTATTTTCATAGGAACTATTTGACCGACTTCGCACAAATTTTGTATTTTGCTATGTAAAATTGCTTTTTTTTAAAAAATGATGGACCAGAAATTGTACACCTTACAATTCAAAATGTTTTCTATTATTATTAAATAAAATAATAATAGATTATAATAAATGAACTAATAAAAAATAATAATAAATGAAAAATATTTACTAATAGTTATTTTTTGCATAAAATTGTCATTTGATAAGCGAATAACTATATAATGGGATGCAAAAAGTTTTCAATTCGCTTTAAGTTCTGGAAATAGGGGGAAATACGCAAAAGGTAAAATTAACATTAAGAGGTCTAAGCTTTGAGCCACTCTCCTGATCAAACTATTGGAACCATATTTTCCAGATTCCGGCTACCCCCCTATTTCAGGGGTCAAAAACCATTAAAGGTATTGTCAGACCAAACCAAAAAAGGTATTGTCAGAAAAAGTACGTTTTTCTGTTTGAATTCACAACTTAAAATATCATCTGCACTAATTAATTAGCATGTTTCTGGTCACTCCCTAGAACCATTAAGATTGAGTTCTATAACGTGATCATCCGATTATTAGATCGAAAGTTATTCAGGGTGGTGTGGTCCGTTTTTCATTATGCGCACTGCACAACACTCTCTTACATAAACAAATACATTATTAATTTTTTTCTCCAATGAGCTGCATAATCGGTCTTGCCGATGAGCAGACCTAGTGCGTTCTCCAGAGGTGGTATCCACTCTTTCAGGACCACCACAGTGGGTGAGATACCGGTGGTCATGTTAATTTGGACGTCTAGTTTTTGCTACACTAGATGGCAGCACCGAGACTCTATTTGGATGCTAAAGTGTACTAACGAATACATTATAGTATGGTCTTTTTTCAATTTTGTGACCTCTTTTTACCTCTTTCCAGATCGTGGAAACCTTGAATTAAGATATTGTTTCAGTTACCTCCAATGCCGGCATTGTTGATTAAAACATCTAATCGTTCTTGACCTCTGATAATTTCCCGGGCACATTTTCGAACAGATTTGAAGGAGCTGAGATCCAAATGCTTGACGATAATGTTTTCATTTCCTGTGGAACATGTGATGGCTTCAGCAACTTCGGCAGCTTCTGTCAAATTTCTGCATGCCATTATGACACGGGCACTTCGTTCTGCCAAATCGTAAGCTATTGCCTTGCCAATACCTGAAACATTTATCTGATTATCATAATAATAATCGAAAACAAATGGTTTTAATGGACTAGTTCACTTTCTTCATAGTCGTTAAAAATTGGAAATACAAACAAAATTAATTTTATAATATACTATTTGAAGAAATGGAATTTTAATTATTTTTTGCCCGAAAGAAATTAAATAAAAACAAGCATCACAGAATTTGACCAACTGGGAAGATTAAATTTATACATGTATATTTCAATTGGGTGAACAAGTACCGGACGGTGGTCATTGCAGATGGTGAGATCAGGAACCGATATGGAGATGTTCAACTGGCTTACTCGGAAAATTAAATTAAGTAATCAGCTCTAGACGAGCCGCTATATAGGGAAGAGTGGGGTAAGTCTGCGGGTAGTGGCATGAGACCGGGTACCTCGATTTTACTGAAATTAGTTCTATTTTCTAGCGGACAAATTCAGAAATGTCTTTTTACTTTCCAAGATGGAGTACCTGCTACAGTCCCTGGCCAAATTATCAGACCCACTATAAGATTCTATGTAAAATCTTAATTATCAGTATATACTATACAGCATTATTGTTTTTACGTGACCGGTTTGCACTTGTTTACCCTCGTGTATCTATTGGTTAACATTGTAATGCAATACGTTAAAAATAAATACAAAAGGAAGGATATAAAAAATCTCCTGAATAACAACCCATTAGATGAGTGTTTAAATTTTTACATGTGTGTATTAAATATTTATTCGTCACTATGACGTCATAAATGGTTCTTGCCAAGGGCTGCAACTCACTAATACTTTAATTCATTCTTTACACAAGGATTTTTGCTTTTGAGAATGCTAAAGCTCTTTTCTCTAAGAAAGATGGGACGGAAAAATCTAATCAGTTTAAGTCTAGAGAATGTCTCGTGCTGTAAGGAAGACAAGAAAATGCTCTAGTCCTGCTATAGAGTGCTTATAGCTCTTTTTTCTGGAGAAGAATCCTGATAATAGAGCCCTTCATGATTTCAAACGAGCTTTAGTGATCAACTTAAAATAACATCTTCGAAAATAAGTTAGCGATCTATGTATACCACGATGAAAATATTGGGTTTCAAACTTTGCCCGAATTATTTCTTGTACTTATAAGGAGAAAATATTTCTCGAATGTGCTTAGAATCGATAAATAATAAATCTAATTTTCGGAAAATTCTGCTGTAACAGATGAGACATATGTGTCGCTATTATATATTTTTTGCTGATGCTCTAATTACAAGCAAAAATATATTTTGGTATTTTTTAATAATAAAAAACAGTTTAATGGTAACTACAAAAAATTTGCTAGATTATCGGAATTATATTTGTACTAAAATATAAAATCAAAAAAAAAAATTTTTTTTAATTTTTTTTCCATTTATATTCAAACATTTATCAATAATTGAATTAGTAAATTAACGAAATTTCAATGATGAATAACTGTTTTTCTTCGATCTAAACAGCAGCCAATGAGTACAAATTTGAAGAAATATTGCTTGGAAGTTTTTACCCTTTAACGCAGAAATAGGCAGGAGTTTCATGCTTTATTTCATAACTATAAATCATTAAAATGAATATTTTCCCCTTATTTTGTCCTAATATAATACAAGATAATAAAAAAAGTATTAAAAATAAGTTTAAAAAAAATTCCTCGTCAAAGTGTTAAGAAACAATCACTGAAAAACAATAAATTAGAATAAGAATGATAGTTTTATATTACATACCCGAGTTAGCTCCTGTAATGAGGACAGTTTTTCCAACCATGCTTATACCACTTCTGTAACGTTTCGACTTCAGAACCAGGTAAATTTTTAAAAACAAACCCAACAGAAACACACACCCAATAAAACAATATAAAACATAACAAGTTGCAGTAAAAAGCACATAAGCAGTGTTGAATGCAGGTGCCATGATTGTGTCAGCAATCGTAATCTTATCTAATGTAATATTTATTCCATCTCTCATCTTCAAAGGATCTCCAACTAAAAATTAATAAAAAACTTATTAATTAACCATTAGTTAAAATCAAATATAGATTTTCGGTAGGTAGGTGCTTCATTTACGTCACACTAGAGCTGCACAATGGGTTATTATAGCGATGGTCTGGAAAACATCCCTGAGGATGATCCGAAGACATGCCATCGCAATTTTGATCCTCTGCAGAGGGGATGACTCCCCTGCTTTGTTAGTCAGATGACCTGAGTGTGTCGGTAGGGCGCTGGGCCCATCGAACCCAAGAGGTCGTGGGTTCGATCCTCGCCGGCCGAAGACTCCCCGTGTAGTAAATGGTGACTGATGCACGTTAAATCTGTCGAGTCTCAAAGTCCTCCATGTTCCCACAACAAATCAATACCTCTGGGGGTACTGATCCAGGAGTTTCCTTGTCTTCTGGATTGGTTCAAAATTGCAAGGCTACGGAGTTGAACGTAAGTAGTCGTAAACCCATGAAATTGGGTCGGCTGTTCAACGACGGTTATAAAATAAAATAAGATAGAACAGTTTAAAGAGGACCGATACCGTGCACCCTCAGTCCTTACGCAGGCTGATCAAAGTGGCCACCCACCCGCTTACTGACTGCAGCCAGAATGCTAGACTTCGGTGTTCTACTGGGAACCGTGTCTTTATTACCAGTCCACTGCGGGACATAGATTTTCGGATAAGAGGTCGTTTCTAATATGGCTTTATTTATTGGTCCGAAACTCGACGATGGTTGGTAATTTCGTATACAGCATCCAGCTTGTGGTGCATTCTCACTGCTAGTGATTCACACATGCACGAGCAGTCCATCTTACATGTAGTCTTTAAAAAGTCGCAGTGCGTCTAGGGCAGTCGAATGCAGTACAGATAGCCCTATTACACCGGCTATAATTCTGATGAAAAATATCTAAATAGATAATAAATCATTTTAAATAGATCATTGGTCAAAGTCTCCTTACCGTCGGCCTGACCATGCGAGGTCTTCCTTTCCGAATAACGCAAATATGGGTAAGAGTTTCACTCGAAAAGTTTTCCAGGATGGCTTGTTTCTGTTTGATCTAGAAGCTTCTGTGCGCTCTGAGTTGGTTCTAAAATTACAAAGCTATAGAGGGGCCTCCTTGGCAAGGCGGTTACACCTGCCCTGTAGCGTAGAGGCAACGCGTTCAATCTCACCATAACCATGGACTCTAGAGTGTGCTATCCGTTCTTCAACTTTAAAAGGTCTTATAAGCTGCATTCTGCAATGAGCACACGTGCCTGCATAAGTATGTGCAACAACAGATTTGAAAAAATAAGGCTAGAATTAAAAACCTTAATTTAACTGCAAACAGGCCAAGGTTATATTTATGTTTTGAAATGTATTTCTAATAAAAATTTTATAATTAATAACCTTAATATCTTAGCATTAGTGCTGAACTTATCGTTAAATCTAATGAATTAGCTTTCTGTTGGTTTAAGTAGATACTAAATAAAAAAATAATTACAGCTTACAATAAAAATAATTCAGCTACTCAGCGACCTATAGCAAAAATCACTAATGTTAATTGTTTGTGGTCACCAAACTACTTTTATTTTGACATAACATTGTTTTGTTGTTTTATATTTTACTTTAATACATAGATGCGTAAACTTTTATCGTAGAAAAACAATCTTCAATTGTCTGCTTTTAAAATTTCTTAGAATGCTTCTCTTGAATCATGCAGTTCAATAGATTATTATTATTATTTTGTTAAGACTACTCTTCAGTAATTAAATTTCAAAACGTTTTGTAAAGAGCCCGGAAAATTTGGTGGGCCTAAATTTGCCTTCATCAGTCCTGGCTGCAAATCCCATATGGATCGAGTCTATATGGATTGAGTCTATATAAATCAGTTGTTTATGCCGGTAATAAGATAAAATATGACTACATCATGATCTGAAAAGTAGTATACATGACTTGTTTTATACTTTTATTTATATCTTCAATGTGCTTCATAATAACTAGTCCCGCAGTGGACTGATCGTTAAGAAACGGTTCCCAGCAGATCACCGAAGTCAAGCATCTCAGGCTGCGGTCAGTGTGCGGGTGGGTGACCACTTGGATCAGCCTGCGTAGGGATCGAGGGAGTGCGGTAGGGTTCTCGTTAAACTGTTCTACCGTAAAGTGCTCGACTTCGCGTGAAGGTTGTCGGGCTACCGAAGCCGTCCCCTCTTCAGAGGATCAAAATTGTAATGGTATTCTTTGGATCATCGACAGGGATGTTTCCCAGACGGTCGCCAATAGCCCATTGTGCAGCTCTAGTGCGACGTAAATGAACAACAACAACATGATAACTACCTTTAATATATTTTTAGAATATTTTTAATGTTGTCAAAAACATTTACATTATGGATCGCAAAATAATATTTAAGCAAAAGGGCGAAAACCGTTATAAGACGATGACTAATAACTATTTAGGCCTTTCAGATCAAAGTAGGGATTAAATCACCAAAAACCGAAACCATAATTAAGCTCTCACCTCAAATAAACTGGTTTTAGATTATTTCAATGCCTCTATATTGCATTTTTTAAATTCTATAAAGAATTTAAAAACTTCTCTGCTTTTTTTTCCAATTCAATAATTAATTTGTGATCCTTAATTTTACATCATTTTTTACAAGAATTCTAAAACTAAATTTTAAAGGGGATTATTACGGAACACCATGTAGCATATGAATATGCGCGTATCTGAACTTAATGTTCATATTTTTATCCTCTAGAGATCCAGCGTCCAAAACCTTGGTCAATATTTGGTATAATTTTATCATTTAAAAATTATTATTCATGATTTTTTTTTTGCTGCTTAATTGTCCTTACAAAGTGATTATTTATGCAAAAAGCAAAAAATATAGTTAATTTTACTCTTGTTGCCCGGAATTTTTAATTATAAGAAAATTTTCAAGTTCGATTCAAGTAAATCTTTTGGACTGTATTATGGCAAATAATATTCTGTTCATGGCCTTAATATGAAGAAATACTCTATAAAAGTATATGTAATGAAATATTTATCATTTATTGCCCTGTAATTAAACAAAATAGTAAGGTTTAAGTAATTGATTTTTTTTTTCAGAAAGGAATTTTATATCCCATTTATGAGTTTTTTCTAAGCTATATATTTGTAAATAAAAATCTACCATTTAGTGCTCGGGTCTCAGATTAAGAAAAAAAAAACTTTCAAAATGTTGCTTTAAATTTATATAACCTGAATAATTTTGGATATAAATAATTGAACATGAGTGCGATTTCGAGTTTTGTACCCCGTTTTATTTTGTAAATTATAGTTGCAGGAGAAAAAATTTACAAGCGCTGAAGTATCTAGAAAGTTAACTCTAGATCAGAATAAATAAAATAACGTTTTAATATTTTTTGAAGATAATTTAAACCGCGAGAGTATAGGCGACTAATTAGAAACTTGGCGACTAATTAAAAACTTAGCTCTTCCCACCTTCCCCGATGATTTTCGGAAAAAAATTGTATCATTGATTCGTTGTTTATCATTATTTTTATTCTATTTTAAACATTTTTCAGCAATTTATTTATACAATGACTATTCTCATTCCAAAAATACAAACTTTAAGCAACAAATTCAAGTAATAAGAAATGCTTAAAAAACAACATGAATTTTAAAATTCGATCTTTAGGTCGCTAAATCGACCTCGCTTCTGATTCGAAAATCAGAAGTAGGGTGGAATCAGTTCCGATTTGTTTGAAGGAATCAGTTCTGATTGATTCTAAATCGACCTTGGCTAGATTCACGCCTAAAAAAAGGTTTTGAATTTCTTGTGTAAGGGTGTTACCGATAATTATTTAAAATTCGGTACTTACCAGTTGGTATTATTTTCGAACTACTTAAATTACACGTACTACGTCTGTCTATATAACTGTAAAATGTTTTGTTCTAGATTAATCCCTCCGCATGAAAAGTTTTAAGTAACTAGTCACGGAAGCGTGACATTTTTTAGCTGTAGGCGTTGAAATAACCATCAAATAAAATTATTCATGATAATTCGAGAGATATAGCAAGTATATTCAGTGTTACTGAAATGTTCCGTTCCATTGATAGAAATACGATTAAAATTAACTTATACGAGTTGTAACGCTGTAATTTTTCTGGAATGTGAAGCCTAACTAGTTTATGTATACTCTGAAATCGAATTCAGAGCTAGGCTAAATGCCGTACCATACCTGTGCATTCAACAGTCTGGCGTAAAACCAAATTTTAAAACTAGTACAAGTGATAAAACAACGAAAAACTTGATTTTTTGCATTTAATATTTTCCAAATAGTGATCTCTCGTTGCTTAATATGTTCACCATTGCTAATAAATTTTAGTCTATTCTTAAAGGGTTATGCCAAAAAAAATTTTTAAAAAATCGATCTTTAGGTTTTTCTAGCCCCCAAAAAATTTTTTTAACTATTTTTTCTACACGTAGAACACCTTTGAAATTGGAAATTAAGGCAGAGAATAAAATTTTATTTCGGAGCTATATTATATACCGCATAAGAGTATTATATATTACATAAGAGTTTCACTTCTGAAATAAAAATAAGTTGGTTTATAATTGCATTCTGGTTAGGCCTCAAAAATTTTAAGATACATTGTTGTTGGAAATCCTATTCGTAACAAATTAAGCAGTCTTTATTAACAGTAATCTCAGGGGAACTCGACATTTAAATACGTATCATTCGCGTTAAGACTTATTACTTTCATTAAAAAAATCGCGGTACTGGTTAAAGTAGTATACCTATTGACACACTGAATGCCGACAACCTTTCAATATTGTTATAGTTTCACCTCACCTGTGAAATATCATATTTCAAAACTTGTAAGCATGTTCAGTAATTTAAATGTATCCCACCTTTCCGAAGACGGAGTTGTTCGCGAACCTCTTGACTTGATTTTCCGTAAATCGCCAATAACGGAAATCTCCGTTACGCCAAAAGAAAAAAAAGAAAGTCGATTTATATTGCTAAAATTATATACTATCACTTTTGATTCGGATTTATTCCCGTATGGCTGGAGGGGAAGAAAGAGAAGTCGATTTATATTAAATTACAATAAAATTGAAATTTAATTCATATAAAATCTTTCAATAATCTAATTTTCCGAAAAAGTAAGACAGGTATAGATTGGCCAAAATATCCATTGGATTTCATACTAATTAAATTAAAGCACGTAATGAGTACGGAATAGTATCAGTAGAATCATTTAATGGTTTTTGAAATCGATAATTATTTCAGGGGATATGAAAAAATATTTTTAAAAAAAAGTGAGCGCTAAACAGATTTATTTTGATCTTTTTTCAATAAAAAAAAAAAAAATGCGGCTAGAAAGTTAAATAAAGCACAACTTGTCAACTACTGATGTGCGATCGCGTATAACTTAATGCTTATTACCTTATTTAGTTTCAAGAGTACTTTGGTTCGCTTAAAAATAAATTAATTTAATAAGTACTTCAATGTGTTGATGTTGTTAATTTACGTCGCACTTGACTTGAGCTGCACAATGGGCTATTGGCGACGGTCTGGGAAACATCCCTGAGGTTGATCCGAAGACATGCCATCACAATTTTGATCCTCTGCAGAGGGGAAATAAGTAGTTCAATAGCAGTATTTAAACGGGAAGAACAGTTCCAAGAAAAGAAATTCCACACAGGGGGGTGGGTAAATAACACTCCGCGCGATGCNGGGGGGGGGGGGGGGGGGTTAGAGGTGTACAATCAGTTGCTCACCAGCTTTTGTGCGGCCCGAGGAAGCACCTAAACATATAATTTTAAAAATTATAATTGGAAATTTTGAAATGCGCATTTTTTAACGAACATTATCCAAATCAATGTAATTTTTTATCCCTTTTTTCGGTGGTTATCGTAACAAATTTCAAAACGAAACGAATTCGCAACGAAATTTTTAACAAAATACGTGAATTTTTGTAATCACTTTTAACCCTTTGACGGTTATGAACGAGTTCAGCTCGCAATCAAATCGTGCTTCACAATGCACGCAAACGAGTTCCGCTCGGGTGCAACAAGATTTCGACCGTAATGGTTAGTAACGAGCACTACTCGCGTAGTGAAATTTTTCCCCAATACGCGCTGACGAGCTGAGCTCGTTCGCCATTATTATTCTGCATTGACTATGTTAAAAACGAAAAGTATGCAAAAACTGTTATTTATGTACTACGAATACTTTAAGAAATTCTTAAAACGCGTGAGGAGAGCTATTTACCGCATCCAGAGATGCCAACTTGCTCCGCTAAAAATAGTATTTCCCAGTGATAGCGAAAGTCAAGTTACTTTCAGTTTTGTATTTTTTCTTTTAAGTAATTCTCACCACTAAATATCAAAAACTATAAGTATCATATAAAATGCAACGTTAAAGCAAGTCGTCTGGATACTCTATTAAAAAGTAGGCGTAACTGTCCTTCTCCAACGAAATTTACTACATAATTTGCTACCACTTTATTATAACAATTCCAGAAAGCGGAGAAGTTGACATTTAGTCAGAGAAGGGTGACATTTTCGGAAGAGCGGCGTTGAAAAACAGCTGCCACTTTCGACTACTGTTTGCTCGTAATACTGCGCGAATTAATGAAACGAAAACTGCTCATTTCCCTGACCGTCAAAGGGTTAAAGCTCTTTATTTCTGTCTAGTTCATAGAGTTAATCTATGTGACTTTATTAATCCTGTTTAGGAGGTTATCCACGCGTTTTTTTAAAATCCTGATCTTTTTGATACATACAAGCGTACGAGTTTCGAATTGTACAAATTGTCATCACTTTTGACGTGCTTTGTGTCAACATTATCGTACCATTTTCCAAGTACTCTTTTCGTCAAGTACTATTTCTGTATCGTTTCTCTAAGTACATAACTAAATTTTGACTTATACTCGTTTTTCTAGGTATCGTATCGTTTCTCTGAGTATTATTTTTTTCAGCTCTTATTGTAACGCATTTCCACACGAGTGGGTAAATTTCGCTTCGTGCATTTAAATGGATATTTCCTTATTTTTAATACATTATAATATGACGCGAAAATTGACTTGGGTATTTTTTAACAGTTTTAAAATTTAACCTTCATAAAATCTCTTATAATTCACTAAAGATAAAAATATACTGATCTGAATATTGAATCGTATTTAGAGCTATAATGCGATATTTTTTATTTTAATTCATTTTAGACCCCATGCTACTTCTTTAATTAAAATATAATTTGCATTTATGTTGCTCAATAAAAATATGTACCTATTTTTTACTTTCATTTCAGAACATTAGAGTTAATTTATTTTAAAACAAACTTTTGTATTACTTAAACCATGTAAAAAAACCATCACTTTTCCCCAGTCTATATATTTTTTCGACAAATCTGTTTTTTGATAAATAAGTATTTTATTTTTGTAAAATATCAGTTTGATATTTTTTAGTTCTAAATGAATTTTAACATTTAAAAGAATTTAATTTTATTTAAGTATATATTACTAAGTTGACTAGAGCCGGATTATACCTTTCATAGGCCCTAGGCATAGTCGTTTTTGGGCCCTCCCCTCCTTCCCCCACTCCTCACCTCTTTTCAAAATATATGCTGAAATTTTCTTGCATATTTTTTTTTTACATTTTTATTAATATGGATTTTAATTTATGAATTTGTTTATCGAACTTTATCTGCAATATCGACAAGTGTAATGCATAAAGTAAGAGAAAAAAGAAAGGTACTCCTAACTTTAAAGAGAAAAAAAAATGGTAGAAATATAACATTTAAAAGAATAAAAAAATTTACAAGTTTAGACAAGAAAAACAAGTTTAAAAAATACAAAATTCTCAGATTTATTTTTTAAAAATAGTTACAATTCCTGAATTAACTTATATATACAAAACCAATGATTAAATAACGCAATATATTTCATACCTAATTAAAAGGGGGGGGGACAATAAAATAAAAGGAAAACTTAATTAATCTAAATAAAACACTTGAAAATTATCGAACCCAAACGATAGTTAAAAAAGGCACTAGCATAAATATTAAAACCCGGAACAAGGCAAGATCAACGGAATTTTTTTAAAAAAAAACCTAATAATAAAATTTATGAATAAAAAGAATTTATTGGGTGCGAAATTTATCGTAAAAAGAAAAAAAAAATCAAACGTAGTGGAATCAGGAAAACAAAACTGTTTTTCTGATTCCACTACGTTTGATTTTCTTTTTTAATTTTTTTCTCAGGCCCTAGGCACGTGCCTAGTGTGCCTATAGGTTAATCCGGCCCTGAAGTTGACTGATGAAAAGAAAAAAGAAAAATATTTAAAATAATTTGATTTCATGCAGCTGACTGGCAAAAAGAATTGCGTCTTAAACACTGATATTTGTTTTAAAACTATCACAATTGCCGTTAACATATATAAATTACACACCTACTATATAAATTACAATAAAAATATTTTTCTTTTTTAAAATATTTTTTAATTCACTTTTCAATTATTAATACTTAATTAAACTTTGAATATATTATTGTAATAGAGTGAATAATTTTCTTGTATTTATTAAGAATAAATTTCATTTAAAAGTCGCATTATTTTAAAGTCGCTTGCAGGGGGACGCACATAAGTTTTTGTACACCACTGTTATTTTTGTTTAATTCGAAAAAACATTGATATGTCTTACTTAAAAAAATAATAAAATAACACTGAAGTAATTTAGTAGAGTGGCTACCAACACGCAGAAGAATAAAAAGGTGAATTTTCCTGACTTTTGAAACTGGTAGTATTAATGAAACAATTATTTTTTCAGTTACTCTTATACATGTATTACAAAACACTTATACGTGCTATTGTAGTTAGAAAAAAAATTAAAAGACCGATTTTTTTTGGAAAAAATATTGATCTTTAACGCAGTGGCCACCCTATTAATGTATATTTGCAATATACACTATTAAATTAATAAACCATTGCATTGCATTAGTTACATTAAGTGATAG